CCGATCCTTCAAAGTCCTATCTCCATTCAGTCATCTTAGTTTATAAATGTAGGCCCTTCTAAACTCTTCAGTTTTCACATCAAAGCACAATTTAAAATCAGTCATTGTTCTCACGTATTTGTAACTATTCATTGCCTCCATTTCTGGTTGTTATTGTGTGTGAGCTGGAGAGAATAGTCAATAATCATGAGACTTGGCTCGAAAAAGGAACCATAACACAATTTTGAGATGAATTTCATCACTAGGTCATGGCGTATTTCATTATTTTCCTGGAGGCTTATGAAAATTTTGTCATTTCTGTTTTTAGAGGACAGTTGTGCTTGCAGTTTTATCCTGTCCTGAGGTGCTAAATTTCACCTTCATGATTTTTTTAATAAGGGCCTTGTATGATCTTGCTGTCAGCATTTACACTTTACATTCAGTTGTTGTGCTTGGTGTCTGTATACCTATAGTTTAGCTCTGCTGTTATTCTTTTGTCTGACTTTATCTACCTCATGTTGCTTGGTAACAGGCGGATGTTAATGTTCAGTGAGTGACAATAGAAGAGTTTTCTTTCCCCTTGAGATTAAAAGTCTCCATGGAGATGATCTACTGTTCAGCCTCACCTTTAAGGAAACTTGTTTGCGAGGGAGGGACAGAGCATGTGCAGTTTACAATCTTAAGGTGTGACTGTGCTTGAACTCTTTTAGATTCTGCAAAACGCTGGAGTCGGGGGAGACGGTTGGTACCCTCTGATCAGTTTTGTTATCTCACTCCCAAACACAAAAAGTGCTCTATTGTCTGACAAAATGAGCAAGAGTGTTTAAAACCAGTGCAATGATGCACAAATAGATGAGAGTAAAGAAACCATGAAAACCAAATCTAGATCTATACATTTTTTGTTTTTTTTATGGCCTCAGATATGGTACCTTTGGACTTTCCCTTGTATTTAAGGGTTGTTCTTCAGACATCATATAAGTGTTAGAAAGTATTTTCATTTCTAACAAATGTGATTCTGTCCTCTCTCTGACAGGACTGATTGACTACAACTTTCACTGCTTCAAAAAAGCCATCCAGGAGGTTTTTGATGTTCGCGTAAAGGTTCAACAGAGCCGAAAACTCCTCAACCAAAGGAGGTGGAGTAAACTGACTCTGACCAGCGGAGTGTGCAGCAGCACCCACTAACAACTGTACCTGAGCTGCACCCTGATGGGGTTTTTAAATTGTTTTCTTAGTGTGAATCATTTGCTCCATTCAGCCCCCCAGTGTCTTCCACTTGCCTATTTTTACTGGGCAAAAAGAACACAAGAAAACTAAACTACACAAAAAATAATAATATTTAAGTACATTTTGAGATGTTTATGATGGGAACCTGAACCAATTAGTGTGTTAATGTGAAAAAAATACTTTTAAAATAAAGAATTATACAAGAGGCAGTAGAATAGAAGATCCCTTTATTGTCATTGTACTACAAAACTTTGGAAACTCAAGTTCCCCGACTGTATAGTGAAGTATGGAAGTTGTGATGGAAAAGCTTTTTAAACCATATTTTCAGCCAAAGAGACCAACTCTTAAAGGTTTTTTCTTTATCAGATTTGAGTTGAGTTATCAGATGCAGTTTTTTTACATCCAGGAATGTGTTAAGAGAAACTGGGGAAGACACACACCGAAGGACTGCAGATTGGACCCAGACTGCTATTTAGCCATGTGGCAAACTGGTGCCACA